TGGCACAGGACAGAGCAGAGTTTAGGGCTGTTGTACATAGGGTCGCTATGAGTCGCAAGCGACTCGACGGCACATAACAACAACATGTTTATTGCTCCATTATTTACAATAGCAAAGAGAGGGAAGCAACCCAAGTACCCGTCAACAAATGAATGGATAGAAAAGCTATGGTAAATTCATACAATAAAATACTATACAGCACAGAAAAACAATGAACTCGTAAGACAAATTTCTTGATACGATACTAAATTGTATACGAAAAAAGAATGAAGAAAATACCTCTTTAAAGCTTCATAGTTATATGAGACACTACCAAGAGGAACATTTTACATGTGCTTGGAATTCCAGAACTAGAAGAGGCAAAAGAAAAAAAAAACCAAAAAAAACACAAAACAGCTGATGAATTGTTGAAGATTTGAGAACAGAAATCACCCCTAATATCATGAAAAGAGAAAACATGTCTGTATAAGAATCTGAACTATGTAAACTTTCAATACTTGCGTTGTCGTTGTCGTTGTTGTTGTTTACTATCAAGTCAGAACCAACCCATAGCTGACCCTTCAGCAGGTTTTCAGAGGCAGTTAATAGCACAGGAGGAGATTGCCTATCCTTCTCCTAGTGGTTTCTTCAGCTGGTGGATTCAAACTAAGTGCCTTGGGGATTGCAGTGGGGGATTTCCCCCCTGTGTACTACCCATCCTTTTATTTTTTTTACTTCATAGTTGCACATATTCCTCTCCCTTTACCCTCCGCAACCCCACCCCACAATGCAATGTTCCATATCATTGTCATACATATAAGACCTAGTCATATATTCCCTTTAAATAGTTCTTCCCTTCATCTGTTCCAATGTAGTGTCCATAATCTATCCACTCTTCCCTCATTCTCTCCCCAAACTCCCCCATATCAGTTCAATTTTATAACAGCAATGTTATGCAGTATTTGTCCTTTTTGTGGCTGAGATATTTCACTCAGCATAATGATGTCCTCTAGGCTCCCCCATGTTATGTAATGTTTTACTAGCTCATTGTTTTTAAATGCAAAAAAAAAAATGGGTGTTTGGTTGTTTTTTTTAAATAAAGAAGCTTAGTGAGCCCCATACAGGACAGACTCCAAAAGAAAGTCACCAAAACATTTTATAATCAAACTTTCCAACCAAAAAAAAATCATGAGATCAGCTCAAAGAAAAGTAGATGTTACCTACAAAGGACAACCAATAAGAGTAAGCTCTGATTTCTTGCTAAAATCATGCAGTGAAGAAGGAATTTACTTAGAACACAGAAAACCTATAAAGGGAAAAAACCCTGTCAGACAACAATTGTGTATCAGGAAAATTACCCATCAGATGCAATGGTGACAAATAGCACATTTCTAGATAAACACATATGAAGGAAATAAGTAAAAAGTAGACCAACCTTACAAGAAATACTAAAGGGAAGGTTCGAATGCAAAACCAAAAACTTCAGAGAGACAAGGGACAAATATCTGAAATTATTAGAAAACTCCAGCACTCTAACAAAAAAAAATCCCCACAAAAAACCCAAATCCAAGCTGAGCAGATGGAAACAGCCCAGGTGTCATAATAGGATCAAGATGAAGGGCGATGGGGGAGAAGTGGGAGGAAGAGCAGGGAAAGAATAGGTAGATAATGAATACTGCACTGGATTGAGTGAAAGAAAGGGCATTCTGAAAGGAATGCATGATTAGAAACCATGTGTATGACAACTAATAGTCTTACCAGGGGAATTGAGGAATAGGGGAGAGAGAAAAGTGTGCATAAATGAAGGAATAAAGGAGGGGGGAAGACTCTTTACCAAAGAAAACTTTCACATGGCCAATAAGCACAAGATTTGTTGTTGTTGTTGTTGTTGTTGTTGTTAGGTGCCATCAAAGGATTTTAATCTTACTCTATCCTATGCCATCCTCATCATTTCTGATATGCTTGAGCCCATTGTTTCAGTCACTATGTCAATCCATCTCATTGAGGGTCTTCCTCTCTTTTGCACATTTCCAAATATGGTGTCATTTTTCCAAGGACTGCTCCATCCCAACAACATGCACAAAATATGTGCGACTAAGTTTGACTCTGGTTGCCTCTAAGGAGCGCTCTGGTTGCACAGCCTCCAAGACAACAGCTGTACAACAGCTACTGGATCTAGGTATAAAATCTTGCACTAACACAATTAAATCTGGCATTCCCTTTCTTCTCAATGTTGGCTACAATTTTGTATCATCTAAAGAGTCAAATGCCTTTGCATAGCCAATAAAACACCAATAGATAAGCGGCGGCTGCGGCAAGAGTGGAAGCGGTTGGTGTCCAGGGCGGCTCCAGGCCTGTACTCGCTGCTGCAGGCCGTCCTGCTCTGCGTCAACGCCATCGCCGCCATCGCTGTGTTACATGAGGAGCGCTTCCTCAAGAACATTGGCTGGGGAAAAGACCACGGAACTGGCGGGTTCGGAGAGGAAGGAGGAATTAAATCGCAGCTAATGAACCTCATTCGATCTGTAAGAACCATAATGCGAGTGCCATTGATAATAGTAAACTCAATTGTAATCGTATTACTTTTATTATTTGGATGAAGTCCAGCCAAGGAAATGGAAATTCTGAAGAAGAAGGTGCCAGCAGAAGTTACTGCTTAGAGATTATTAAAAAATAGATATCTTAGCTGGTCAACCTCACACTTGACAAAAATGTAAAGCTGACAATAAAACAAGAGTTCTTATTTATCTGATTTTTTAATGTTGCATTTATAGTTTCATTATAAAAAGATCAGATTAATACAACAAAGACAGTAACTATCCAGGATTGAAATACATGTTATGGCTGATTGTTAATAAGAACCCATGCTGTGGTAAAGATTGTTAAAGGGTACAGGGCTGTCTCATCTATGTTAATAGAGTTTTTCTATTTCTTACTACTCAGGGATGATTTTTTTCCCCCAAAATTTGTAAAGTTACTTATAATTTAGTTATGATATGAGGGTGATTTTTCTCCCAGGTACAATTTAAAGGCATTTTCAAAAGTAACTACTGCCTATAAAATGTCAAATAGATAATTTTATTTTTAACTTCTTTGTTAAATATTTTGACCGTAGCCCCAACTGAAAAAATCCAAGTTTTAATATCTAATGAGGAGAAACTCCCTGATTTGGGGAGAGAGTACTAGTTTTGTAAGTCATTGAGTCACATGTTGATCTGTTGGTTGTGTTTTGTTTTACATTGTTTTCGTGAATTTACTTTTTGAATTTGTCTGAATGATGAGATTAGACCAGCACCTACAAATTTTCACCAGTAGAAAAACCTGTGTAGAAGAGTCTATGCCCCTTTACAATGATGACTTTTATTTTCAAAGTCAGCATTAAATGTTAGCTTTTATGACCATCTCAAAATACTAAAAATTATACTATGTAAGAAAATATTTAATATAAGTCATTGTCCTCCACCATTATCCCACGTTACCATGTTTTGATGGATATTTAGGTGTCTGATTCTTAATTCTTTATTCATTAGAACATTTATTATGCTAGATAAGTTTTTGTTTTTATGTCTTAAATCATCTTGTGAGATTATCTGCTCATTCCATAATACCATTTTATGGGAAAAGGTAAAATTATGTAAATGTTTCTTGTGAAATCATCAGGAACAGTATTTTAAAGGGCTGGAATGGCATCTTTGTTTAGAGGAGATAATTTTTAAATAAAGGTGAATTTCTAAGTTTAAAAAAACACCAATAGATATTCTTCTGATATTCTCTGCTTAGTGCTAAGATTCTTCTGACATCAGCAGACATTTCTTGTGACATTTCCTCTTCTGAATTCAGCATGAATTTCTGGCACTTCCCTGCCAAGGATGTTACAGCTGCTTTTTTTCAATCTTCAGCAAGACTTTATTTGTATGTGATATTAAGGATACTGTTCAAGAATTTCACATTCTACTTGATCTTTATTTATTTTTTTTAATGGAAACAGATGGGACAATTAAGGATCTTTTCCATTCAGTAAGCCAGGTAGCTGTTTTCCATATTTCCTGGCACAAACTGGTGTGCATGTTGAAGGCTGCATTTGTTAGTTGAAACATGTTAAACGGTATCCTATAAATTCCTAGGACCTTATGTTTTTTGGTTAATGTCTACAGTGAGGTTTGAATTTTTTTTAATTACCATTGGTCTTCAATCACATGTAACTTCCTGAAATGAATCTGTTTCAGTAAATTATTTTTGGTACAATAACGCTGTGTACTCCTTTCATTTTGTTTTGATGCTTTCTGGATCTTTCAAGATTTTGTCCATAGAATCATTCAGTATTGCAACTCAAAGTCTGAATTTGGAAATTCTTTCAACTTAAGAAATGACAAATAAGTTCTTTCTTTTTATTTTCGAACTTTAGCTCTGTGCATATTTTTTTAATAGTACTTTCTTTTTTCCTTCCCAAGCTGCTCTTGGAAATTTTCTGTTTATCTCTTTTACTTCAGCATTTCTTCCCTTTGTTTTGGCTTCTCAATGCTCTAATGCAATTTTCAGATTCTCTTCTGATGCTCGTTTTGGTTTTATAGTTCTCCCACATCTTTGTAGTGACTTTTTGCTTTCTTCATGGCTATCCTTTATATCATTCCACTATTCATCTATTCATCTAATCATTAGTGTCCAAGGCCTCAAAACTATTATTCTTAAAAAAATTTTTTCATAATTAATATTTTTACTATTCATAGATATTGTGTTTCATGCACGTACATTATGTTTTATACTCTTTCATTCACATTATATTTCGTTTCACATAATGATTTTTTTTACATTGTTGTTGCTGTTGTTATGTGCCGGCGAGTCGCTTGCGACTCATAGCAACCCTATATACAACAGCCCTAAACCCTGCTCTATCCTGTGCCAATCACACTGCCTCTGACACGCCCAATCCGATTACCCCAGTCGCTGAATCAACCCACCTCAAAGAGGGTCTTCCCTTCTTGCGCCGTCCCTCCACCCTCTCAAGCATGATGTCCTTGTCCAAGAACATCATGCTTGAGAGGGCTCCTTACAAGATGTCCAAAGTATGTTAGACGGAGCCTCAGAATCCCTGCCTCCAAGGAGCAGCCTGGTTTAACCCTCTCCAGGATGGATCTGTTTTTTTTTTTCTTGGCAGTCCATGGTACATTCAATACTCTTCTCCAGCACCACATCTCAAAGACATCAATTCTCCTTATATCATTCCTAGTCATTGTCCAACTCTCTGATTGCAAAAACCATAGCCTGTATCAGATGCACCTTAGTCTCCAGAGTGACACCATTGCTCTTCAGTACCCTGGAGAGGTCCCTAACAGCAGACTTTCCCATCGCAATACATTTTTTTATTTCCTGACTACTGGTGCCAAGAGGGTTGACCGTGGAGCCAAGGAGACTAAAGTTGTTAACAATCTCAATTTCATAACCATCCATCCCAATGCTGCCAATTGGTCCAGTGGTAAGACTCTTTGTCTTCTTGACATTGAGCCTCAATCCATATTGAAGGCTGCAGTCCTTGACCCTCTGCAGCAAGCATTTCAGGTCCTCCTCAGTTTCAGCAAACAGTGTTGTGTCATCTCCATAACACAGATTGTTAAGAGATTTACATTGTGGCTTATAAAATTAAACACCAATGAATGATCTATGCCCACTACTAAGCCGTCTTTTCAGAGTCCCACTGGATCTTTCCTAATTCCTTCACTCCCACCCACCACCCACCAAATCCTATTATCCCAGTGATTTCCCACTCTTCCTATCCTTATCCTTCCTCCCTCCTCCCTTGCCCTTTCATTTATACAAATCTTACTAGTTATTCTTTTATTTTTATGCTAATGGACTTATGAAGTACTTGTCCTTATGAGACTGAATTGTTAATTCACCAAAACAATCTCTAGCCTCTCCCACATTATGTAGCTCTTTTCTAACTCATTGCTCCCGAGTGTTGTATAGTACTCCTTTGGGTAAATGTACCACAGTTTCTCAATCCAGTCGTTTGTTCATGAACATTTGAGTTGTTCTTACAATTGTGAATAACACCACTATGAACATCAGTATATGAATCTCCACTTGTATCTCAGTACTATTTTCCTTGGGGGTATATTCCTAGCAGTGGAATAGCTGAGTCATATGCAATTTCTATGTTCAGGTTTTTGAGGAAGTGCCAAACTGCCTCCAGAGTGGTTCTACCATTTTACAATCCCACCAACAGTGTAGTTCCAATCTCTTCACACCCTTTTCAACATATATAGCTTGATGTTAACAGGGTGAGATGGTATTTCATTGTGGTTTTGATTTGCATTTGTCTCATTTTGAGCATTTCTTCATGTGTCTGTTGACCATTCAAATGTCTTCCTCTGTCAAAAGTCTTTCCATGTCTTTTGCCCATTTTGTAATTGTGTGATCAGTCCTTTTCTTCTGAAGGCTCTGTAGGATTCTGTAAACTTTTGTGAGACCCTTGTCTGAGATGGTATTGCCAAAAGTTTTTTCCCAGTTGGTAGAGTTTCTTTTCACCCTATTGGGAAAAGGTTTTGATGAACATGGGGACTTTAGAAGGTCCCATTCATCAATGTGATCCTCTCCTGTTTGTGGATTTCTGGCTATATTTGTCAGCGTATTCATAACATAGGGTAGGTCTTCTAAGTTTTATCCCATTTTGTCTCTTATGATCTTTATGATTTGGTACTTTATCTCTAGGCCTCTGATCCACTTTGAGTTGATATTTGTGTATACTGTGAGATGTAGATCTTGATTCAGCTTTCTACAGGTATGAATCCAGTTTTGGCAGCACCATTTGTCAAAAGAATATCATTTCCCCATTTGATGGGTTTTGTTTCCTTGTCAAATACCAGTTGACCATATGTAGGTGGGTTAATTTCTGAGTTCTCCATTCTGTTCCATTGGTCTATGTATCTGTCATGGACCAGTACCATAGTGTTTGGTTATTATATCTGTGTAGTAAGTCTTGAGATCAGAGAGTGCTATGCCTCCCACTTCATTTTCAATATTTAGAAGTGCTTTGTTTATTCATGATCTCTTTCCTTTCCACATGAATTTACCTATTGCCTTTTCTACCTCTTTGAAAAAAAATGAATTTGATATCTATATTGGGATCACATGGAACATGTATATTGCTTTTGGTAAGATTGTAATTTTTACCATACTGAGTCTTCCTATCCATTAGCAAGGAACATTCTATTTTGTTACGTCTCTTATCATTTCCCACAGTAATGTTCTATAGTTTTCTTTATAAAAGTCTTTTGTGTCTCTAGTTGGGTTTATTCTCAAGTATATCAACTTGCAGTTGACTATTGTAAATGGTATTACTGCCTTAGTTTCCTTCTCTGAGTTTTCTTTATTATTGTAGAGGAATCCCACTGATTGTATAAATATATACCCTGCCACTCTACTAAATTAGTCTACTAGATCCAACAGGGTTTTTTTGTTAAGTCCTTGGGGTTTTCTGTTCTAGAATAGGTTTTCAAACTTATTCTTGAGATGATTTTTCAATTCAGATAAGGTAGACTCAAGGAATTATTTTAGTTCTTTTAGATTTGCTCTCCTTTTCTTCAGCTTCAGTTTGAACTTG